CCCCCCCCCCCCGCCCCGCTCGTCTACCCTGTTTTATGTATGTGGTTGACACAACCAGCACTCGCGTTAGGAGGTGGTTGTTGAAGGTGTTCTAAGACGTTCCTGATCCCCAGTGTGATTACCTCGCCATATTCCGTCCATTTGTGTCCATCAAAATCCGTACAGTGATCGCCTTTTTGCACTGGCACATGCGGACGTGTTTTATTGAACACACACGAACAAGGCTACTTTATGAAACCGCTTTATCGATTCAAATACTGTTTGCACATCCATCGATCCATGCGTACCCTCATTCTGGGACAGCAAACGCCGGTGCCTCATTCTGTAAATCCACGTCCTCTCATCGATCTGACCCCCCCCCCGGGGGGGGGGGGNAAGATTTTGGCCCGGGAACAGCATATGCGTCTCTGTCTCTCGCTCTCCATAATCGATTTCCACATTACTCGCAACCCGACCGACCATGCACACACACACACACACACACAAGCACAGTGCACTTCAAATTGCAGTTGTTTGATGTAAGGTTTTTCTTCTGCTATCTCTCTCAAATGGGCTTGTGTGTGGTGTAGAGTAGTGCATTTGAATCACAACTTCACGCCCACGTTTCGAGCATAGACTGGTCTGTATAGCACATTCGAGACCATCACCACCGAATCGTTGATCACGTCCTGAGATCGATGAACAACCTCCCGGAACGACCCGGTCACAATCGATCGTATGTGGAATAAATGGAAACAGTTTCCTCGACTAGACTCATCTTTTCGTGCTGATCCCGGTGGAAAGAGGCAATTATGGGAAACTAAAAAATCTTTATGAGTGGGCCAGACAGGGGCGAGAGAACCCTTCTTTCCGGGCTACATATTCCGTTCCTGCAGGTCTCAACCGACTATGAATCCGCCCTGTTGTCTGTGATCATTGATTCGTCCTGTCAGTGCTCCACTTCTCTATTCACCGAATGAAATTCATCTCGTCACACGGGTGTAGTAGTGGTGATGAATTAAATTCGATGACATGATGAATTTCGTTTTGTCTTGAAGCGTGAAACCTCATTGTGAAGCCTTATTGCGAATTCATCTTTGCTTAAGTGAGTAGTATGCCTGCATTCTACTTGTAAGGTCCCGAGCTCGATCCTCAATTGTGTCGATGGCTTCCGGCTGCTGATGAGACCGAATACGGTCAGAACAGCTGTGCAGTAAGCACTTCCCAGCTCCATGTGATGGAAACTCATCGCAAATGTGTTAACTGATTAATCGGATAAGCTTGTATTGCTCAAATTCAACGACATATCAGGTGCACTTCTGATTTGATGCTGCCAGTTTTCAACTGCACAATGAGCTGATGCACGATCCATGTTTCGGCCATAGTCGGGCTATCCGGCACACCTCGTCCTGTTACTGTTACTTCTGGGTTGGATCAACAGCTCTGCAGTCGCATTACCCAGTGTTGTTTTTATTTATATTCCGCTACACATCGTTTCGCAGGCTATAACCATTACCTTGCTCATTTCCGATTGTCTTTACTATGGTCCGGGGTGTCATTTTCGTCCACTGCACCCCAGTGTGCTTTATTGTGGAGACTGTTCTTCCGATTGATTACCATCCACTACCTTTCACCACACAATATCCTTACCACGGCGTACGATGTTTGCCGAGAGACAGATAGTGGGTGGTAAACAGCCGAGGGCGATCAAGCCAAGACCTGACACGGGGATATGAAATCCCTAACCAGGATACTGTGGGTCATACAGGTCCGGTTAGGCTCCCTGGCTGGGGACCTCGGGATGATCGTAACTGATGGTTAGAGACACTGAGTGATATGACTGGGGGTGTCGTAAACAGTGGCGTTCGCGCATCTCAATTTCTTCGCAACCTTGGACCACTGAAATTCTTCATTTTCTGTTCGACTCCATTTTCAACCTTCCTGTCTTTCTCGTATTCTTCACCCAAATAGGCAGCCGAAAGACAGCTACCAAAACCGGCGCACGAAAGTGCATGGTTAATGGTTGTATAAACTGAAAGTGAAACTGTATCCTTCACAGAGTGAGATCCCACCGTTTATTTTGGGAATAGACCGGTTGCTTGTCAAATCGATCCTACTACGGTTGTCCACTTCTCTCTCCCTATCGTTGACACGTGAATTTGTGGGTAAAATAGCCAACTGTTTCATTGCCGTAGTAGGCATTAGGGTTTAGAAGGTATCTTGTTGAAGTTGCATGGGGCTTTAGAGAATCGGATCGGCTGATGGCACACTATTTCGCTCACACCCGACTCCGTTCCTTTATGTGGTACTCTTTCTGGACGCCGGTGGTTTTCCATAAGAGATCCTTCTATTTTTCACAGCTCGAAAGTATGTGCAGTGGGGGTATTTGTATTTTGCATTCTTGTGTGGTCTAGTGAATGAACATCTTTTCAAGGCTACCAAATCTTGATTTGCATTCTCGGGATGATTTCAAGAAGTGGCCCGATCTGAGGGGTAATCCTTTTGATGATTCTATGTACAAGCCTGTATTGTGAGTTCAACATCAATACTAACATGGGTGTGCCATAGTTGTATCATGAACAGTAATATGAATGGTTGAACAGAACTATTTTTTTCACAATTTGTACCAGTTGGCGCGTGTCCGGGGTATTCTTCTCACAAAGCATTACCTCATACTTCTACTCCCAGTATGAAGTGTAAAAAAAGCAAACAAACACGATCGCGATGAAATTCACTAGGGGATTTCAAGTATGAGAATGACTGGATAAAATAGTACCAGGTAGGTGTGTGTGTGTGTGTGTGTGTGTGTGTGCTTACAGAGCAATTGTGTTAAGTCATTTGTGTACTGGTCATTAGACTTGCCATAGTACTTGTTTCTCGTGCTCTTGTGTCGTTCCTTGGATATGTAATCGATATTTTCTCCCTACCGCCCCCCCCCCCGTCCCACCACCNCACCACACCCTCCCAATCGTGTTTTTGTCTTAGATCAGTTGGAGTCGTGAAAAGGAGGAAGTTGCCTGGTCCGTCGGAACGAAGTTTGTATTGGACGAGGACAATAAACATTTTATCAAGACCAAACTAGATCACTTGTCACGAATCAGTCTATCCTTGACCACCTATTTCACCAAAGGTAAGCAGTGTGAAATGATCGTCGTTGTTTTTTTTTGTGAATTTGTGCTTTTCTCTCAAAACTTTTACCCAGCTGTCACCGCTTTTCAGTGATCTGAGCTTTTTCCTGATTCCATTTGAGGCATTGTTCTAAACCCAATTGATTGATTTAATCCTATTTGTAATTGCGATTATAAATTGTGTAAGCGTCCATCCTACATTTCAGTTAACAAACTGAACAGAGGGAGAAAACACAGTTCCACTCCCAAACTTTGAACAAAGTTTGTAAAAACCTGTTCTTTGTTAACCAGAATACGTCCTAATGAGGGTATTGTAGAGTTACGTTATGTTTTTTTTTCAAGATTCCCGTTGTAACATTTGAAAACAAAACACGAAATAGCGAACATGCTCGTTTTCGATAACTTCCTCATCTGGCAAATACAGTTATATAAATAGGTAATAGGCGCATCACATTTGGATAATGTTTAATGTGTGTGTGTGTGTGTGCGGATTGGACTGGTAGATATAATTATTTGATTGTGTGTGATTTACAAACAAAAACGGGAGTGGTGTGTGTGTGTGTGTGTGTGTATGGGAATGGGGATGTGTCATATGAGGGTTGTTAAAGCACTTCAACTACCATGACCACGTAGTGTGAATTCAATGGCATGATTGGAGCNTGGAGCTAACCATTTCCATGACCCCTTGATCCTTTCAATTGACCCCGTGCCCCAACAGGTGATGGCTAAACTGGACTCTGTCCTAACTCTCATGTGACACATCCCTATTCCCATCCACCAACACTGCTTTTGTAAATCACACACAATAGACTAATTATATCCACCAAATCTAATCCGCACACACACGTTAAACATTATNTATTTATATAATTGTATTAACCGGATGCAGAAGTTATCAAAAACGAGCTTGTTCGCTATTTCATGTTTTTTCTCAAATATGTGTTTTTATTCGAGAGAGAGAGCACAACGATATTGGTATCTAGTTGATGGATGAGAACTACAAGGAGTTAGATCTGCGTGTAGCGGATGTGTGGGGTCGATAAGAATCTCATGTGTAAACGTTACACAGGCATTCAAATGACGTTCACTCAGGTTAGTTACCAATTCCAGCTGGAGTTGAGAAGACGCGGCTCATGAGGTTAGTCCACGTTGAAACAGTGTGAAATAGTTCTTTAGGAGATTGGAAAAAACAACAGGTGAGCAATAAAATAAAGTGTGGAAAACACGCTGGTAAACGAAGTTGGAAATAATCGATTGTTGAATACGAAACTAACGAATTTTATGGATATGAAAAGAAAATCGTCGAAGCTTACTGACGGTGTGTTGAATGTGCGAGGTCCAATGAAGATGAGCATGAATAAACACCCCAGGCATTTAATACAGCTTATCCAGGATACTGGTTCAGAGCCAATCCCTACCGGTTCAGATGAGAAAGAAGAGCGAGATAATGTAAAGAGACATTCGAAACAGTTGGAGAGAATAATAGAGACCGGATGTGTCGAAAACTATTCAACATTATCCAAGTTGTCAAAATTTTGAAAGACCCGAAAAATCGGAGATGACCTGACACAAGACCACATTGCCAGCATACTTGAAGCGAGAAGTAGGAGCGCAAACAGACAAGTCAATAATATGCGTAGAAAATAAGTGTGCGGAAAGAACTGCACCTTGGAGTACTCCAGAGCTGTTCAACAACGATTTGGATTTCTTCCGACCTAACCTGGTACATTGAGTTCTCCCAGAGATGTAATCGGCAAGCCAAGCTAATAACTGTGTAGGACAACCGAAGGTCTCCAGTTCACGAAGAAGAAGGGAACAAGGCATAGAACCAAAAGCAGATGAGTAGTTCAGAAACACAACGAACAGTTTTTGCACAGTCATTCAATAATTTGGTAATTTTATGCACAAGTGAGGAAGCTGCCTCTGCAGAACAGAGCGACATTATGTCTCAGTAGAAATCGTTTATTTGGACTGCGCTTCCTCCGGTGAGAGTTATAAAGGGACCCCCCAAGTGTATGAGCGTGTTTGACAAAAGCTTGCAACTTGCCTGCATCTTCGCTTAGCATCACAATGTCTTCTGATTACTCCAGATCAGACAGTCTGCCACCCGGAAGTAAATCGATACCGCTATCCCTGCACAAGGATAGGGCTGTTTCAATATTCAAAAAGGTTTAGAAGCAGAGAGTTAGTGTCACTCGCATGCACACTGGTCAATCGCGTGTACGCGAAGTCGGACCGAGGCTAGATGTATGCGGCGTATGGTTAAGGTACGATCGTACTTGATGAATGTGAGGGATTGAAGTGCGTCTAAGTGTTACGCGTGGTGAATGTGCTGTGTGGACGGTTCGAGGGTCCGATCGTGAGTTACAATGCGTATTTATATCTCAAACGGAGCGCTGTTAATGGTGTTCATCGTACGACACTTCCTTGTGGTTAGAGTTCATCCGGTCCACGAAAACTGTGATTGAAAATGTATTTAAAGAACAGTAACGTACTCATTGCCATTTGTCCACTACTCCTATCGAAGGGATTGCAGTCGGTATACGGTGGTGGATGAATCCTATGCGAGTTTATTTGCTTCACGGCCCCTGGCGATTAACCGGCTGTTCAGTAGCCTACGATCTCCTAAACTAAAGTTGCTTGCAGTTAGTCTTCCGTTGTGTCGTCCACGTTCGCTCACAAATAACACAGACTAACACAGTAATACAGAAACGGCGTGAGACGCACAGCGAGTCCAAACACAAGTCAACACAGCCCAGAACAACAGTAGTAGTAGTAGTAGTAGTAGTAGTAGTGGTAGTAGTAGTAATAGTAGTAGCATCCACCATTGATGGTGGATGAGAAATACACAAAGTGGACAAATTAGTCGTTAAATTAACCACCTGGGGNCCTGGGGCGTCCTGAGTTCGAACCCCTCGACTGCCGCCCATCTTCCCATTTGCTGCATTTCTCTCGAGAGCCTTTGTATAGCCGCCTTCCCCTTCTGAAAGTACGTTTCATACATTTCGAAAACCAATAAACAAAAATATGAATTAAAAACATGAGTTTTTTCATGTGCAAGCAGTCGCATAGAGCGCAAACGCACACGGAGATACGAGGCAGGTCCGAACACCACGGGCTACATGCCTCAATGGCTACACAGGTAGTTTAGCCCCATGAGCACTATCGCAGTACAGATTGCTAGCTGCGAGCGCTATTGACCGGCTATGTTAGCAAGAACACAGGCGGTGAGCAATGAACGTGTGTAGTTGATACACCCAAAGCAACTCGAATTTACAGTGTCAAATCGTTTGCGTATATATACTGTTCCGGGCTCTGGACATAGAGACCTTGAAAATGGATGCGAAAAATGAGAAAATTTACAGAACTGACCAATCGGCCACTGGCACTGGGGTGGAGGGGAGGGGGCGACGATAGTGTTAAAATGGCGCCAAAAAACTTACATTATTTTCGAAAAATTTGATATTTCTCCAAAAATAGACAGCTTCATATAAAAATAATCTTTTCATCTGACATCTTCAGTTTAGTCCATTGCACCGTTCTTCGAGAATGTACCAGTCGACTTCGTCTCTGTCATGGAAACACCCAAAATTATTTTCATACTGCTCGGCCAAGCTATCTTTCTAATTCGCATTGGTAACAAATATGGCCTTCCAGGCGACTCTGTTATCGTCGTGCCCCATAGACAGAATATATATATATATATAGTTAAGACCTGGCACGAGGGTATGAAAACCCTAACCAAAAAACTGGGTCACATAGGTCCTGTTAGGCTCAAATCACACGGGGCGGGTAGGGTAAGGCATAAAAGCCTTGGTCATGAAACCGAGTGACCGCGGTGTGATTGACTTGCCCAGTGAATGCCCGAGGAAATTCGGCTGACGTGTTCGTGAAAACCCTGATTAAGATCAACTAACTGTAGCTTCTTTCTTACACAATGTGCTGATTGATTTCATCAGAAAACCTCAATCTGGATCACGTCGTTCCATTCGCAGTTGGGTGGCAAGGTCACGGTACGATAATTTGCAAACTGAAATGAGAATGTATTATTCAAGCTTTGGCAATGGACAGTCTGAGTTTGAGTGTTCGATTTCGACAGGATAAATAAATGTATAGCTCAATTCTGCATGGAGTTTGTGAATGGGCTATCGGTATCACTCACCTCTGAAAGCCTCAGTATAATCGCGGATGGTTATTTCAGGTTGGGGCTGATCACCCTGCCGTTGCACCTCATGAAATACTCCCTCCGACCAAGCGTCTTAAACGGCCTCTGCTGAAGAAGCCCTACTCCTTGGCTTCTCGTGTTGCGGAGGTGCTTTCCCAACAAAGAGAGGGGACTAAAAGTCGAAATCCGGGGCTATAGCCGGTTGGTGAAACGCTGGAAGTTCATCTATAGGGGAGTTGGTCAAAAAAACCGATTTCAAACCAACCGAAAGGAAGCGTACGAACCGCACACCCATACCTTTCCGGTTGTGGCAATGGTCATCGGCTCAGTTGGGCATCGAGTTGTATGAGGCACCTTGGACGTTTGCCCCTGCCCGAAGGGTGTGTGATTTGATGAATTGGACACCGGCTCCCACTGGATTGCGATTTTCACACCGCCCCGCTGCTTTGCGGATCAGGTTTTGGCTAGTCAAAGGCTCCGGTTGTGGATTCCTCGACCAGATTCATCTGCCTTGGCCTGGGCAATCTGGCAGTATTCCGCCCACTTGCAAATCGTGGAACTTTTTTCTTTTTATAAAGATTATTGTACCATGATTTGTTCGATACATAGTCTGGATTCGTGTTAGTGCAACACAAGTTCTAGGTGTTTCCGAGGAACCCATTGCTTGATTTGCGCTACCATATAATATGTCAATTTAGTTTACCATTAATATTTCTATTACTCACACCTAGTAATCAATGCAACTCTCCAGGTTCTTCCAACTTTCTTTGATTTTTAACTGCTAACGTCCGATCATGCACCCGCTCGATTGTTTCGTCAGTTGTTTCTATTTTAGGCCGTGTCTGTTCACAGTTCACATTCGTTTCTCCCTCCACGCTTCTCGCATGTTCAATTCCCTTTTTCAGATTTGCAGTTCACTTTATGCGGTATGTTCAACGGTCCGGAAATGCCACAGCTTGGTCTGGGCTTGGAACTGGAATGTTGATGATCGAACACCGTTGTCGTTGTTGTTCAATCCAGTGTGTATGTGTGTCGCACATTCACAAGGCTTGATCACGTGATCTCTTAGTCGATCGCGGTTGCCGCCTGGTACATCTAGTTCGTTACTTCTCCTTCTGTGTACCTCTTGCCCTTCTCATTGTAGCTTTCTGTTAGATTCAAGTCCCGTCTCGACTCCTCTACCTGAACGATCATCTGAGCATGAAACACACATATATATATATATACATATACACACGCGCGCATACTCACGTACTACCTACGCACATATGAGCAACTGCAAACAAACCATGCTAGTTAACCTTGTACCCATCCCGCGCACATACATGAAACGATTTACCTTGCTTGCTTCGTGTCACTCTATCCCGGTCGCATCCGTTTCCACTTGTCGACGAGCTTGTTTGTTCAACCCGAAGCTTGTGTGTGTGTGTGTGTGTGTGTGTGTGTGTGTGTGGTATGATTTGTACAACTTTGTAGAACTTTTTGGACAATGGACATGATATGTTAGTGATGCTCGATCGATCAAGCAACCGGTCCCACAATACAATCAGTATCCACTACTATGTCGTTCTATTTTTACCCAGCTGATCCGTTATCTTTTGTTATGGTTACAAACGCCTTTTCTATTTGGCGGGCCATTGATGCGTTCTAGGGCAAACTCACAGATTGGACAGTTACCCCGGAAATTCCGGTCCCAAGCCTGAGTTTTACGATATCAGGAATGGTTTTCTTTTTTTGTGACTTCTTGTTTCGTGCAACCGTCACTTGCTGGGGGTAAGTTAGCTGCCTGGATGTCTAGTATCACCGTCATCCGTGCTCAGCCCCTGGTATGATTCACGGTGATGTAAGATTCTCGGTTATTCCCAACACCCTTCAGTCGAGTCTGCACTTCTAGCTTATGCACGACCAAAGTTTATCCATACGACAGTACACTTGGTCTAGACAAGTTTGGTTGATTCTCATCCTCTGAAGAGTTTTGTTGAGTACAGAAATGGGGTGGGACGGGATGGGAAGAAAATTTTAAGCTACGGTTCAGCAGGTCCCCGCTGACACTAGACCTCCGGCAGCTTGACAAGAAAGGCGACAGATCCTCACGTGAGAACCACCGAGGAATTAGTTTACTCAGAATGGTCTCAGCTTCTCGCCGGGATTCATACTCCGTCGATTGTCTGCCGCNGCACAAATGAGAATCAGGCCGTTTTTCGACCTGGTCCAGGGTTGTATCGACCACATGTTTACTTTTCGTTGAATTTTAGAATGCATACACTCCTTTCTTAAGCCCATCATTGGTGTCCTCCTCGATATGAAATTGGGTTTCGACTCGGTCGACCGCTCTAAACTCTGCGCTGTCTCTCTGTGAAGAATATGTCCGAGGAGTTTATTTTAATTTTCAGATCTGTTTATACTAACAGCCAAAGCTGAGTTCCAGCTGACCAACAGCTTTTCTCCCGAGTTCACTGCAGAAAGCGTTGTTGGTCACTATTACCCTCTTTTTCCGTTTCTGTTTAACGTTGTTATGGATTTGATTGTAAAAACAGCCCTATCGATTGGCTTCCGAGTGGCAGAGTGTCAGATCTGGAGTATCCAGGCAACAGAGACTTGACCACTACGGGAACAGGATAAAAATAGACTGTCGGTGTTTGAACACCGCTGTCCACATTTGCACTGCACGAGTCTGGTGGAGTAACCCGGACGAGCAATTCTTAGGTTAGGCCTAGAGTTTTATGCAGTCGCGGTCGTCCACTGGAGCAAGTTTTACGCGTATCACCAAATAGGTTTCCACGGCGATCAAATTTTTCCGAGACAGGTAGCGGTTGGAAAACGGTCAAGGGTGGTCAAACGAAAACATGGCCTGTGGCTCCCTGGCTGGGGACCCCGAGGTAATGGTCACCGAAGGTTAGAGACACTGAGTGATATGGCTGGATGTCGCAAACGGTGGAGCTCGTGCATCCACTCACTATTTTCCTAACAGCATTCTGTATGAATTCTCCATCTTCCGCTTGAATTTGCTTCAAACATACAGACAGATATGGTATTCAATCGCACAAAGTAAGAAACAAGCAACTCATATGCCTTTGTGAGTCTGTGGAGAAAGTTTAGCGGTACCACGTGATGCAATGGACGAGTTTCGAGCGGGGTTACCGCATTTGATACAAGGATATGCTGACTGTGGTATTTTCAATGTAGATGAAACAGCTTTGTATTACAGGCAGCTCCCAGAAAGAACATTGAGTCTGAAATGAAATGCCTCCCAGGTATAGATAGAAAAAGCGTTCCATGCGGTTTTAATTCTTCAATGGGTGGCTTTTACGTTATTTCACAGTTGACTGTCCGATGTCAACCGCAAAATGGTTTCTCAAAGACGATATATTTTACTACTTATGGACAACGCCACTTGCCATAACCAAGCCGCAGTATTTTCCAACGTCAAATTGGTACGGCTGCCTCCGAACTGTTCTTTGATGTTGCAACCAATGGATCACGGCGTGATTTGGTCTTTGAAGTTTTCGTTTCGGAAACTTACGGGAATATGTTTTGTCTTTGATCGAAGATGAGCAACATATCATGAAAGCCGGGGTAAACATTCTCATGCATCTGGTCAAGAAAGCTTAGGTGTCTGTGCACCGCACGTACTGATCAACGCTTTCATGAAACCGGGGTTCAAATACACATTGATTCAGCCGGTGATGCAGCCACCAGAGGATAAATGCGATCTGGTCGAGGATTTTACTCATTATGTGTCTATTGATGACTGTCTTTTTGAAGAAGAATTCGCATGTTTGGAATTTGATGATGAAGAAGTGGGTTATTTAAGATTTATGTATCAATTCTCTTTTTTAGTCATTCGATGAATTCGTTTCGAATCAAGCTAAGCATCGCAAAGAAGAAGATGAATGTGAGGCAGTGAATGCACCGGAAGTTATCTCAATCAGAGAGGCGCAGAAGTTATTGGATCAATTGATGCTCTTTGCCTTGGCTAATGCTCGGAGTTCGGGTCGATTATTGGAGTGTACAGTTGATTTAAACGGCGCGTTTGTTGATATCCAACGAAGAGCCAACCTGAGACAAACGACGATTTATGATTTTGCTAAAAATACATCTTTGTAATCTGCGAGGTATTTTTGAAATTCGTAGAGGCACTCGAATGTGGTCATTTTTGCTACAGTGGTTACCAAAGCCACGGTCATTTGGTCTATCAATGTGCTTTGTCGCCTCAACGTGCGATTGACTGGTAAGCGGATGAGTGGAGTGAGATGTCTGATCCGAGCGATCGATAAACGTCACGCGTACGCGTCTGTGTGAATGATACTCGATACTCTCACTTATCCTAGAGCACCGACAGGTCACTTGCCAAAGGGTCTAAGGATAGTTTGTGAGATGCACTTTT